GGGACTGGGGGTGGTGCTGGGCTATTTTGGGGGGGGGCGGGTTGGGGCTGCACTCAAGGCAAGCGGTGGCAGTGCTGGGAAAGGGGCTGTGGTTTAATTTTGAGGGTGGCTGTAGCCCATCCTCTTCCCGGTGCCACCGCCTGCCCTGAGCACACCCTTGGCCCGCACACAGATCCAGGGGGCATGAAGCTAACATTGTGTGGCTTTCCATGGAACCCTTGAAAGCATCTCAAGGCACCCCTGGATGCTGTGACACCATGGCTGAGAATCGCTGGTCCCAGTGGTCCTATCCCACTTGCTCAAGTTTGCTGAAAAACTTGTACGATTCTGTCTTAAGTTCTTGTGACCCCCATTTTGGGACTGTCGGAAGAGAGGACCCACCCATCTTTTTATGTTGTATTGTCACTTAAGGATTTAAGTGATACTTGAGCCTAACTTGTGGGATAGGATCTGGCCCTTAATACGCTGGTAGTATTAATTGGTGTTCGATATGTTAAAATATCCCTCATTAAAATAAGTTTTTAAGGTGAGGGGCAGTCTTCCATTGTTCAGGCTCACAGTTTAATGACCTTCCCATTCAGCTCTTTGTATATAAGCTGATCCATGGCTTACTAATGCCAAATTCACTTTGTGCTTCTGAAATTCTGGCTGGTGCTAAGGATGGTCATGGTCTTCTGTTTTTTCTTTGAGCACTCATAGATGTGCAAGTCACTTATGTGAAAAGCTATTGAGAATTTTAGGTCGTGGCATAGCAGTATAAAAATATACATTATATCCTAACCTATTTCAGCTTGAGTCAATATTCTTCTGTCATAATGGTGTGCAGAGCCGAGTAAGATGAGCTGAGGGGAAGTGTGTCAGTGATTGTTACAATTAAACTTCACTAAATTTTCTTTTCCTCTTGTGGTTACTTAGTTCAAGCTTTGATTTAACCTTTATTTCTTTAGGATGACAAATGGGAAAAGAAATGCCAGAAGATCTTCTCATTTGCCCATCAGACCATCAGTGCTTTGATCAAAGCAGAATTGGCAGAGTTGCCTCTCCGGCTATTTCTACAGGGAGCACTGGCTGCTGGAGAAATTGGTTTTGAAAATCATGAAACAGTGGCCTATGAATTTATGTCCCAGGTAAAAAGGATGCTGACAACTGTCACTTCCCCCCTTCTCAACATATTAAAACATGGTTTTATTTCTGTAATCGCAGTGCAACTGGAAAAAAATAGATTTTTTTCTTTTCTTCCTTCTGTCTCATGTCAAATTTAACTTCAGTGCCAAATGAGTGCTTGTTTCCAGTATGTCTGAAAGATATTGATGTTATCTGCTGTTCCAGCAGTCCTTCAGGGGAGAGCATCCAGCTTTGCATTTCTTGCTTTTGCAGCATTTCTAGTCTAGTCTTGAGCTTTAGCTACTTGCCTGGAGTGGTGCAACCAGGAGATACTTGCCCATAACTGCAGGGGTTACAGTTAGTTGTCTTGTCCTGAATTTCACACTAAAATCTTAGACCCAGCTGCTCTATTTAAAACAAATTTCACTTCATTCATTGCTCCCTGTTAAGTAAAACATGGACTGAGGGCGCTCGCTCTCTCTCTCGATAGATAGATAGATAGATAGATAGATATGCTCCCTGTTAAGTAAAACATGGACTGAGATATAAATAAATAAATAAATAAATAAATAAATATAAATTTCATGTTGAATACATCATTATTGGAAAAACTGAATGTACAAGGCCAAGCCTGCTTTCTCACTTCTGCCCCCTCTTTCCCCACTGCATGCTCCTAAACTTCTGCCTGATGTTATAAAAACAAAACAAACAAGGAAAAGATCTTGAAATTGGTTTTTATTCCCTGCATCTCCAGAGATCCTTTGTAATCAAACTCATAGAAGATCAGGGTTGGAAGGGACCTGAGTGTGTCATCTAGTCTAACTCCCTGCACAAAGCAGGGCCACTTCCCAACTAAATCATTCAAGCCAAGGCTTTGTCTAGCTGGGTCTTAAAGACTTCCACAGCCCCTTGGGATAACCTGTTCCAGTGCTTTTACTAGCTTCCTAGTGAGAGAATTTTTCCTAATATCTAACGTTAACTTCAGTGGCCATTACAAGTGAGGTATTTGCTCAGCCTATGATGCTGCTGCTTTGAACTAGGGGTGCACTGATTTTTGCTGATACCACTGGCCAATTATTAATCAGCCATATTGGGCAATAATGATCTGATAGCTGATACGCAGCCTGGCAGCTTGGAGAGCAGTGTCCAGCTAGTAAGTCTGTGGGAGAAGGGTGGAGGGGCAGATCAAGGCCCTCACGGTGAGGGAGGGAGTGGGGCAGGGGCAAGCACTACCCAGCCAGGGCAGTGAATGTGCCTATGGGAACAAGGTAGTCGCAGCCAGCTCATCTATGGGGACAAGGGGTGGGGAGAGGGGACGGTTCCCTGCTGCTGTTCGCATTCCTGTGGGAGGCGTGGCCCCCCCCCCC